GTACTCACTCAATTGACCGAAAACGACGTATTACATCGGGATCTGGCAGATGCACAGAGTGAGTAGCAGAACAGTGATTAAGAAGAAGACAGATATGTGGAAAGTGGGTAAATACATTCCCCCACACACATGCGAAATGGACACATTCAACGGGAATCACTTCAACTTGGATATTGACTTGATTTCTCTTGTACTTATTCCGCATATCGAAGCGTCCATAAGGTATACAATCAAAGAGTGCATTACATCGGTCCATCAGGAATATGGCCATACCATTACGAAAAGAAAGGCATTTCGCGGGCGCAAACGAGCGATTGAAATTGTCTACGGTAATTGGGATAAGTCATTTGCATCTCTGCCAAAGTACATGGCCGCACTGCAGCACTTTAATCCCGGGACAGTTGTTGAATGGAAGCTTGAGCAGAGTCCGGGAACACCAGAATACATATTCAATTACGTGTTCTGGGCGTTTAAGCCAACAATTGATGGTTTTTCGCATTGCCAGCCAGTAATATCCATAGACGGAACTCATGTCTATGGAAAGTACGATATCAAGCTGTTGATAGCTGTGGCAGTGGATGCTAATGGACAGATATTTTCTCTAGCTTTTGTTGTTTGTTCCAATGAAAGCACAGAGACGTGGACATTGTTTTTGAACCACATGAAAGAGCACGTTGTCAAACAGCATTCAGGTATTTGTCTAATATCTGATCGGCACGGTGGTATATTAAGTTCTGTGGAGAACTTGCCTGCATGGCAAGAACCTTATGCATACCACCGTTACTGTGTGAGGCACTTTAAGGCCAATTTCCAGAAGGCACATCCCAATAAGGATCTACATGATTTGATGTGGATGGCAGCAACAGACCACCAACAGCATAAATTCCGGAGGCATATGGATTCTATCAGGCAAGAAGATGAGGCAGTCTATCATTGGTTAATGCAAAATGACCCTGAAAAGTAGACGTTGCATGTGGATGGTGGCAGACGATGGGGAATTCTTACTACAAACGTGTCAGAATCCTTCAATGGGTTATTAAAGTTGGCAAGAGGATTGCCCGTCACAGCCACGGTGCGGATGTCGTTCAAGCAGATGGCGTAGAGGTTTGTTCAACAGTCTGCAGTTGCAATAGAATTGACGGAGAGGGGTGTTGAATTTATGCCAGTGCCTATGAAGAGATTTGAGAAATACAGATGGTGAGCACATTGGCATTCATTTTTGCAGTATGATAACGAAAGAGGTGTTTTTGAAGTTCGCACCGCTATCCATAATAATCGGGGTAATAATGTACATGCTGTAAATGAATTTGTAAGGTTATGCTCCTGTGGGAAATGGTCCATCTACCACATGCCTTGCTCACATGCCATCAATTCATAATAATCGGGGTAATAATGTACATACTGTAAATGAATCTGTAAGGTTATGCTCCTGTGGGAAATGGTCCATCTACCACATGTCTTGCTCACATGCCATCAAGTGTTTTCAACGTGTTGGTTATGCGGAGACCAACTATGTTGATCAACAATATAGTGTTTCCAAGTACCTAAACACATATAGTGGTCAGCTGCAGCCAGTGGGTGCTGAGCATTATTAGCCTCCGGAACCATTTAAAATGGTGTGTAACAAGTCCTATTTGCGTAAAAGACAGGTGCAGAAGAGAACACGTATACGGAACCAAATGGATGTTAGTGACACCGTTTATGCGCGCAAATGTGGTATAAGCTCTCAAACAGGACACGACCGTCGTAAATGTCCTTCAGCTGGTTTGGGTGGCAAAACTAATCAAGCTCGTAGTGGGTGTTCTTCTAGTGTACCTAACTACCCATGAGTTGATGTTGTAATAATTAGTTGTTATATCTATGTTGCAAGATTTATGAAATAAAATTATGCTTGTTAACTATTAGTTGCACTTTCCTATTTTACCTATTTAAATAATAATTTAATAAAATTATCTGTATATTTATTATGTGTGCGTTGTCTTTTCGAACTGAAAAAGCTGACCAGCTAACATAAAGTTGTCTTGTCAACATCATGATATTTAACACGCAAAGTATAGCGCCATTAGATAATCCGTTATGTGTGTTTTGTCTTGTCGAACTAAAAAAGCTGACCAGCTGACATAAAGTTGTCTTGTCAACATCATGATATTTAACACGCAAATATAGCGTCATTAGATAGTACGTTATGTGGGTGTTGTCTTGCCTATAAATAACAGGATCATTGTAGTTATGTTGTGTGCTCAAAATTTACTAAAAGCAAATATTTATTAAAGGTAAGGTTTTTTTTACTAAAAGAAAATATTACACAAATGGCTCAACCTCTTCGCCCACTAAAGTGTAATTATGGAAAAGCATGCTTGATGCAGAATTGTTGGGAAGGTGGTGAAGTTGGACGCCGCTACTGGCACTGTATGAACCAGTTTTACAAGGTTCCCGGCGAACCTATTTGTGATTTTCAAGAATGGGTTGATGAACCATGTTATCAGGAATGTTACAGAGAATAACTACAGTTTCTTCATAATATGTGTTTAAGACAACAGGAACATGAAAAATAAAGCAATTGAATTATTGCAGACTTGAGGGCGAACCTGAAGGAGGTGGGAGAAGAAAAATGGAAAACACAATGGAATTGTGAAGCACAAAAGGATCGAAAATAAATATAAACTAGAACTTGCGGAGGTGAAAGCGAAACTGAAAGAGGTAGAAGAAGAAAAAGAACAACTAGAAGAACGATTTAAGTGGTTGGAGTGGAGAATAAATAGCAACCGGGGCTAAACATTGGCATGTATGTGTTTAGTGTATTTTTCATATTTCATGTATTTTTATTATGTTGGCCTGCTATATTTGTGTTTGTGATTGTGTTTGTACTATAGTAATGTTTTCCTTGTGTGTTGTACTAAATTTTATTTTAATTGAAGTAGAAGTTAAGTTTAAGTGCTTGTGTTGTACTAAATTTTATTTTATGAAACTATCAAACGAATGGAGAACTAAAAAAAGTAATGTGCATATTCGATTAAATAATATTGTTAATGTATACAAAAATATTATTTACACCATGTCAATGTGTCCCGCATCCGGTGTGTCTCAATGCAGCCGCTGGCCTGAGGTGCATCCCCTCCCGCCCGGGTACGCTATCAGGATCATCATCATCAAGTCGTCTCCTTATAGCTGGATGCGGCGCAGGATGACATGTATCGGTGGTGCTGTCAGCTCCAGTAGAAGGCTACATAATAATATGAAACTTAGTATAGAAAACTACATAACAATTCACAACAATTTATATTGTCTTACCATCATCGTCTCTAGATCCTGAATGTAGTCATCTGTCGCTGCATCGCATGAAGCCTTAAAAAGGAAATTAATAAAGTTAAAGAAAATAAATAAGTTACAATTAACACAAATTCCAATTCAATACTAATAAACTCATACATGCGCATGTGATGTGGAGCCATAACTCAGTCGGCGCCCACTATAAAAATCTCAGGTCGGTCGATCCTCAACAGTGGTAGACGGGCCTGGGAAGTATCTACCCCAATCCACTCCTTGAATATCCGAGCCCGTGATCAATAACTGACCCGATGGGGTCACCTGCGATGGCACTAGAGTACGATAAATTCCAAGGCTGTAAGACGGCATGTCCGTCTCATGCATGCCATCTGCCATATCAGCAGCAACATCATCAGCAAGAGCGTCAACGCCCCCTTACTGGGGACCACCTCCTCTCTGCCCACGACCACGTCGTCCGACACCACCAGCTCGTCGGCCACCACCAGCTCGTGGGATACCACGACCCCGATGGTACTGCGCTGGGTCCATATAATCAACCTCATGTGCCAAACGCTGATCCGATCGGGCTCGCTGCAGTGTCTGGGCAGCCACATCCATGAATCGATGACTATACTCCTGCATGGCCACAGGATCGTGGACATAACTCTGCATCTGCTGCCCCATATGATAGACGGTATGCAATCCAATCGCCTGCACAAAGTAAAAAATATAAGCTATATATTTGGCACTAAATTATAGCTATATAACTAATAATAACAAAAAACATACCAGGGCCTCGTATCTCCCGGCTTTTGGGACATACCGACCGTGTGCCTGATGAACCGGGTTCCCGATAAAAAGTCGGGAAACAGTGCGGTACCATGCCATATAACGTGGAATAGGAAAGTGCTGTGGAGGTGGGGTCAAGTCCCCTCGCCTGTCCCAGGTACCCAACTGCTCGTTAAGCCATGCCATAAATGTGTCGTCCGCCCTGGACCGATCATCCCTCTCATAATGTAAAGCATGCCATGCAGGCGGAGTCGGTATAGGTTGCGGCAGGACAAACTAACGAAATACCCGCTCGGAGGCATGGTGCTCAACAATATCGAGGCATATGAGCGGGACAGAAGCCCTCCAAATATGTCGGTCGAACGTGCAATATGCTGGCAGGGTACCTATCACCTCATCGCTGTACGACGTCCAGATGAACTATCAAATAAGAACA